TGAAGCTGACCAGCAGTGGCTGAATCAGGGATGCCTGGGGCACAGCTGGACTATTGGAAGGGGGGCCATGAGGGATTTGGGGTGGCATCCCCCCACCCCAGACCCCTCATAGCCCCCCCCCTTCCGATAGTCTGAAATATCTGATAATCCAGCACCCCCTGGGTCCTAAAGGTGCCGGATTATCGGAAGTTTACTGTATTAGAATTATAAACCAATGAACTGCAGAGCATGGTTTTCCAAGGAATGCCACTATATGGTCAAAAAACTCAGACAGTCAGATCTCTTAGAAAATTAGCTAGAGATCTATCATAGCCCCCCCCCTTCCGATAGTCTGAAATATCTGATAATCCAGCACCCCCTGGGTCCTAAAGGTGCCGGATTATCGGAAGTTTACTGTATTAGAATTATAAACCAATGAACTGCAGAGCATGGTTTTCCAAGGAATGCCACTATATGGTCAAAAAACTCAGACAGTCAGATCTCTTAGAAAATTAGCTAGAGATCTAGCTGAGCTAGGGATGTAAAATCCTGGTTAAGTCAGTTAATATCTGACTTAATAAAAGAATCCTAGGACCTGCCATAATTATGTGTGTCACTTAGTTTAAGATATAAATTGAGCATACATCCTGCAGCCTACAAAAACAATTATTTCATCAAAACTTCATTAACTGAGAACATAGCTGAGCTCTATTGGGTCACTTTTGCTAAATTAAATTAATGAAGATTGCCTATCTCCTAGAACTGGAAGGGACCTTGAAAGGTCATCAAGTCCAATACCCTGCCTTCACAGCAGGACCAAGTACCATCCCTGACAATTTTTTCCCCAAATGGCCTCCTCCAGGATTGAACTCACCACCCTGAGTTTAGCAGGCTAATGCTCAAACCACTGAGCTATCCCTCCCCCATCAGGACTTGATATAGGAGCATACAAACATTTACTATAGTTTGATAAATAACTATAATTTGATTTTCTAGAGTAGAAAATGATAGAATCCTGTGATGGTAAACATAAAACCTCAATCTGAATTACAAATGAATGTAATATAGTAAAGGTCTTAGCAACACAAGTTGCAAAGAGTGTTTTTTATTTCGCTATCAAATAAATAATTTCCCTAGGACAATGCTTAGTGACAATCCAAATTTGGGTAAAATATATTTGAAAGTGCATGAAATCATATAACTCACCTGCCCTGGCTGGGGTGATAAAAAATTAACAACTTCTTTCACCATCACTGGTATGTGTGGTCTTCTACAGTCTTCATTATCTGCACTTAGATGTAACTTCTGAACTTCATGGTTATGCATTGTTTGTTCTTTAACTTCATATTCATAAGTTACTTCCAGCCTTTTTGCTGAAGAATGTATCTTTTTGGCCCAAATGTTTACATTCATTGAGCTAGTTTCTAAACGGGATGGAAGCAATTGTTTGTAGACTTGGCATAAATATCGAAACAGCGCCATACTGTCGTTAGGCCAGCCTGGAAAAACAATAAATATTGGAAATAATTTTAAAGTACATATCTTAAACAATAGATTGGAGAAGGAAGTGGAAATACAAAAAAGTAGTCACACATCCCAGGATACAAAATCCCAGAGACACACTACTTTGGCAGCAATTTAGATATTATAGGATCCATTAGATTCTCCGATGTTGGTCCCCTTTTAGGATTTCTTCAAGGCCCTACATCCAATATGCATGCTTCTAGGACCAGCCATTTAGCATAAGACATACTTGAATATGCAACCTGCAGTATGCCCTGCATGCTTTTATTCTATTATTTTATTCTCTTTGGCTGTGTCTAGACTGGCAAGTTTTTCCGCAAAAGCAGAGGATTTTGCAGAAAAACTTGCCAACTGTCTACACTGGCTGCTTGAATTTCCGGAAAAGTACTGACGATCTCATGTAAGATCATCAGTGCTTTTCCAGAAATACTATGCTGCTCCCGCTCGGGCAAAAGCCTTTTTCCGAAAGACTTTTGCGCAAAAGGGCCAGTGTAGACAGCACAGTACTGTTTTCCGCAAAAAAGCCCCGATCGCGAAAATGGTGATTGGGGCTTTTTTGCGGAAAATCGTGTCTAGATTGGCCACGGACGCTTTTCTGCAAAAAGTGCTTTTGCGGAAAAGCATCCTGCCAATCTATACGTGCTTTCCCGAAAATGCTTTTAACCAAAAAGTTTTCCGTTAAAAGCATTTTCGGAAAATCATGCCAGTGTAGACGTAGCCTTTAAGTATAATACTTTTCTTTCCTCTTTAGCCTATGACTCTGACTGTGGCATGACATATTGATATTAGTATTAAATAAAGTATTTTGGTAATATAAAGTAGACGTGATCAGAACTGAACAAAAAGCATACAAGTAAAGTGTTACCTTCCTTCACATGCTTTCAAACATCAGCACAATTAATTTTGAAGCACTCCCCGTAACCAGTTAAAATAAGCAAATGGGATCCAACTTAGATTTAATACGGTGATAAAATCATGTTATGGTCAATAAAAATATTTGTAGCACTGAACGATAATATCATGTAATCTAATTTCAGCCTTAAGTTCAAACATTGGGTGAGAAATGAAACAGACCATTTGTCTGTTCAAGAAGTTATTTACATCAGTTTCATATTGTCTGTTACCATAACATACACTTCTTTTATGGTAAGTCATACACAGATGATGACAAAAATGGCGATCGGGGCTTTTTTGCGGAAAACCGCGTCTAGATTGGCCATGGACACTTTTCCGCAAAAAGTGCTTTTGCGGAAAAGCATCCTGCCAATCTATACGTGCTTTCCCGAAAATGCTTTTAACCAAAAAGTTTTCCGTTAAAAGCATTTTCGGAAAATCATGCCAGTGTAGACGTAGCCTTTAAGTATAATACTTTTCTTTCCTCTTTAGCCTATGACTCTGACTGTGGCATGACATATTGATATTAGTATTAAATAAAGTATTTTGGTAATATAAAGTAGACGTGATCAGAACTGAACAAAAAGCATACAAGTAAAGTGTTACCTTCCTTCACATGCTTTCAAACATCAGCACAATTAATTTTGAAGCACTCCCCGTAACCAGTTAAAATAAGCAAATGGGATCCAACTTAGATTTAATACGGTGATAAAATCATGTTATGGTCAATAAAAATATTTGTAGCACTGAACGATAATATCATGTAATCTAATTTCAGCCTTAAGTTCAAACATTGGGTGAGAAATGAAACAGACCATTTGTCTGTTCAAGAAGTTATTTACATCAGTTTCATATTGTCTGTTACCATAACATACACTTCTTTTATGGTAAGTCATACACAGATGATGACAAACCAGTAAAAGTACACCTATCTTCTTTATTTTAGTAGTGGAGAGCTATATTCTTTTGGCCAGTGATTCTCCACCAACAGGCTGCTTGCAGCCCAGTCAGCCCATGTGATATCCTCAGAGCCATTAGGACAGCATATTTACTGTGTGGCTGCAGCCCATGTAACACATAGAGAGATGCATATGCTGCCTACAATGGTAAATAGTTTGAGAACCACTGTTTTAGGCTAATCTTTTCTTTTCATAAAGAATAAATTTGCTGTTAGCTGCAAAGAGGTTACAGGATTTTTACATTTGTTTAGCGAGCAAATACCGCAAAGTCTCACATTTCATATGTCTTCTTATGATCCAAAAAAAGAAAAAAAAAAAGACACAAAACCATCTGACAACATGCCACTGTATTTCTATCATTAATGGAGATGTCTAATCCCATGAAATAATTTTTATCTATTATATTTATCCAAGTCAACCCATCGTTCAGTCATCTTTATTGTTTTCCACAAAATGGAAACACACTGAACCATCATTTTAGGAATCTTATCTTCGTTATAATGGCGGTTCCAATGGTTATATAGCTTTAAAAGATAAACAAATTAGGCAAGTTCTCTGTAACCAGACATGTTATTGTTTTCCAGAAACTGTTTAAGCTACTGATGGATCAAATTACATACAATATATTTATTAATAGCTATCATCAATTTGCTTATCACACCCTATAACTTCAGGACAAATAAGCACAAGTTATAATATTGGAGATAAAATGGTTGAAAGGGTTCTTGTCTCCTTTTTAAATGCAGAAGCATGCATCACATTATGGCCCTGATCCTGCATTGAGCTCTAAGTAGACTATTGCTCTCCCATATAGATCACTACAATATTAATAACCACTAGATTATCCTTAATCAGAAGTACTTTATATAGTCACATGAACCCGATAAGATGCTACGCATATATATTAATATAATCTCAGGAAAAATGTATTGGTGATATATTGACTAATTACTTCAAAGCAGTTTCATGTTAAGCAGCCTTTGTTTTGAAAAGCAAGTGTCACACCCCTTCTACTATTGGTACCAGTTAGTGTTTAGCTGAACTGTGGGGTAGAGTTTGCCAGCGAAAGCGTTGCCCTAATTTGTTACAATGCAACTAGGAGGAGGAGATGGAGCAGATGTGCTGTCTCCGGTGCAGAAGAGCGAATGAACCTGTGTCAAAGTTGAGCTAACACTTGGGGCTTGCGACACACCCCAAACCTGGGGCGGGGAGCTGGGCAGGTGCGGGTGTTGGGGGAGGAGGGATCAGAGCGTCATCCCACAGCGGGTGGGGAGAGCGCTCTAGCCACGGGGGACGAGGCAGGAGCACCCCGGGGGGCGTTAACTCTTTTGGTCTCTGGTTCTACTGTGCGTCCCTAACGAGGCTTCGAAGTCTCCAAGCCCGAGAGCCTTTGAGGACTGGCCGCCGGCCTCCCCGCTCCCCCTTCCAGCCGGGCTGCGCGGAGCAGAGACCGCCCCGGCCAGCTCCTGCTATCCCCCTACACAGGAGACTGTGGGAGCCCGCGGGGCCCAGTACTCACTGCAGATCACGTCGCTGCCGGGGAACGAGCGCACGGCCCGGCCTCCCTGTGCAACAAGGCATCGCTGCCTTCAGTTCCCTGGCCGCCGGCCTCCCCGCTCCCCCTTCCAGCCGGGCTGCGCGGAGCAGAGACCGCCCCGGCCAGCTCCTGCTATCCCCCTACACAGGAGACTGTGGGAGCCCGCGGGGCCCAGTACTCACTGCAGATCACGTCGCTGCCGGGGAACGAGCGCACGGCCCGGCCTCCCTGTGCAACAAGGCATCGCTGCCTTCAGTTCCGCCTGCGTGTTGCTGCCGCGACGGCGGGCCCCACCTGCCTCAAGGAGG